TTATGTAGGAAATTGTGTGATCAATGCAATGTGGGTGGGAAGGGAATGAAGGAAAACTGTGGACACCGGAGGTGGTATGAGAGGAGGGTGGGAAGGGACAGAGGGTCAGAAAGAGGGGTGGAAATAATTCTAGGAACTAGAAATGGAAAATTTTTTATAATGTGCATGATTGAGTCACTATGCAGTGTGTACTGGATGGGAGATCGCATTTTGTGTGCTGTGATGATGCTTAGGGAAGGAATGTAAATTGAGTTACAAAAAAAAAGTTTCAGGAAAAAAAATATATATCTATTCAATGACTGCAGTAGGATATGTAGCCCCAGTAGGATGTGTAAAGTTAGACTTGTGTTCATGGAAATGTGTGTTTCACCTGTGTTTGCTAGGAGGGTATTTGGATTGATTAGGGTCTTTGGTGAGTCAATAAAATGTGTGGGGGGAAACAGTACAGAAAGCAAACATAGATACCAGAGACAGTGTGGGAGGAGAGTGGGAGATGGCAGAGGGTAAGAGATAGGGAAGGATGGGGGGGGGAACAAAAGCAAAACATACAGAAAACACGAAATGGAAGATCATTTGTTGACATAACATGTTTGTTGATGTGCTTGATTGAGACAATATACAGTGTACTCTGGATGGAAAATCTCATTTTGTATACTGTAATGATGTACAGTGAATGAATGCAAATAAAGAAATTGAAATTAAAATAAAAATCTTGATCCAAATGAGATATTGGAAATATATGGAAAAATGAGTTGAATTCAAGAAATAAAATTGAATAGGAAAAAAAAAACAGAATTGGACTAAATGAATTCTACCAGTCCCTTTGGATCTAAGACAATGTGGTTTTTACACACACACACACACACACACACACAAAGAAGAAAAGAAAAAGAGAAGAGGTATGAGAAAGCAAGAGGGGAGAAAATATGAAGAAATGGAGAAGGAAGATATAGGAAGACTGAGAGAAAAACTGAATGACTGAAAAAGTGTGAAGAAAATCCTACCACAGGGCTGAAATTATGAACCTCTTCCCAGGGAAGCTACTCTGGGGGGGATTCCTCTTTCATACAGGCACAGTTCTACTAATCTCAAGGGGCTGGCAGGTGGTATGGTGTTTAAGGATGCTGGACTCCCACATGGCCGACTGTGGTGTGAGTCCTGGACCTAATGGCATGGTTTCTCACTTTCTCTCTCTCTCTGGTCAAATAAAAACTAAATAATAAATAAATAAAGTTAAAGAATTCTCTAAAAAATTTATAAAACCTAGCAATTTAAATGATAGGACAAAACTAGTCTCTCACAAGTAAATCAATCAGTAGTGTTTATCAAGTACTTACTTATCTGCTTTCTACTTCTAGACTATGCCAGGGGGCTGGTTAATACCTAACACTGGAATATAACTTCTCCAACACATAGTAACACATTTCTGGAGAATCCCTATAAGAATGTAAAGTTACCTGTGGTCACAAAATCACCTAAGATTACCAATAAAAAAAAAAAATAAAGCATTCCTTCACCTTCACAGAGGCAGAAAGAGTAATTTCAAAAGTCCAAGAAGGGAAGGCAAGAACTTCAAAAGTCAGAATTATTATTAAAGGCCATAAAAGCTGGAGAAGAGTCTGGAGAGAAAAAAAAAAAAAAAACTAACAGAAAATGAAAGTCACTTCAAAGCCTCCTCCCAGCCTCAAAGCAATTAATTATCACACAGTAAGTATAATTTAAAGACTTCCAATCCCTGCAAAGACGTGGAGGTTCACCACCCTAGCCACAGGCAGCAGAAGCCGTTCCAAGAGAAGTGCATTGCAACAGTACAAGTTCGTGAGCTTTTAAATGGTGGCCCCACAGGGGTAGATTTGGATCAGCTAGCCTTTCACCAAGAAGCAAATACTGTGCAGCTCATTGACTTATAGGCACTTCTTGTCTACTTCTACTTCCTCTACAACAAACCTATTGACCTGAGAATACATGCACATAGCAGGTTTTCTTTTTCATTTGATTATTTAGCTTCTCCAATCTTTAATGCCAAAGTAGAATATTGGATATGAAAAAATACAAGACTAACTTCTTGATAATCAGTGAACGAATCATATGGTGGGCATTATATGCCAAGGGGTAGAGTATTTTAAATTTGCACATGATGAGCAAGTCCCCGAAGAGGAGCCATATCAATTCAAACTAGACAGAATTTCTGGTTAAGCTGAGCTGAGGATGACATTTACCAAAGACTGATTTCCTAAACATTAAACAGAGAAATGAAGTTTGAAAGGGAGCTCAGTTAGTGAAATCCATTCCATGCAAAAATGTTTCTAAATATTTTTGTCTTACTTAATCCTCGCATTGTGTTGGGGGCATGATTGCTCATCTCCATGGACAGGTAAACTGAGGCTCAGAAGGTTAAGGAATTCGCCTGAGATTCACTATAGGGGATGAAACTGGGCTCCCTCCAATCAGGTCCCAGAGACACCACATGCAGGCTCCCACATTTTGTTACCTTCACAATTTCAGTAAGAAAAAGCAAATGTTGGAAACCATGACTTACGGAAAGCTGCCAATCCCAGCATAGGGACCAACAGGGCGTAATTCCACCTGCTTCCATCACCCCCATCAGCTCTGGAGTTAGGTCTGATATTCCAATTTGGGGGATCATTTAGGTCATTCATGGAGAAATACCTTTAAGTAAGGGATTAAAAACATTAACCATATAAAAGGAATAACATATCTGCTATAATTACATCATCTACATGGATCATATAAATCATTTTTTTAAATTCAACAAAATGTTTCCAGTTCTACCTATGTGTTGTACAATACTGAGTCTTAAAGGATTCAAAGAGGGAAAAATCCAAATCTTAGTTCAATCTCCACCCCATCTAGAAGGGGAAGGTAGGGGAGAGACATGACTCAAATAATTGAAATAGAAGTAAAATGAGGTTAAGTCTTTTAGTTTAAAGATGTTTAAAAATATGATTGGTATGATAGTTAATTTTATATGTCAACTTGACTGAGTCATGGGGTGCACAGATATTTTGTTAAAAATTATTTCTGGTTTTCTGTGAGGGTGTTTCTAGATGTGTTAGCATATGAATCCTTAAACCAATTCCTGTAATTATAGTCATATATAAAAATAACTGGCCAGGGATTAGCAGATGGCACAATGGTTACATTGCTGGACTCCCACATGGCTGATCATGGTTTCAGTCCTGGACCCGGCAGCTGGAAACTCCTGGCAGGCACGTGTGCATGCGTGCCCCAAAATCCCAAGAAGAGAATAGAGGAGAAGGCACTGCAGTACCACCATCCCTCCAAGAGCTGATTTCTTGCCTTCTGTCTCTCTGTCTCCTCCAGTGAGTGTATAGATCCTCTAGCAAAAATCTCTCTCCAAAAAAAATTAGTAATAATTGACCCAACAGAAGTGGGTTCATGCTGGACATTCTATTTCATGAGCCAGTCTTGAGGAATGTACAACATTTTAATGGGCAGAGAGAGGTGTCTTCTGAGCAGACGGCTGAGCGTGAGTAAGGCAGCAGGGTGTGAACACACTGAGCGCTTCTGGACATGGTGAGCAGAAGCCTACCTGGGGCTCACAACCAGATTGATAGGAATTTACTAAGGACCAACACCAGGATTTCACAAAGGCGTGAGAGCTTTCAGTTTGTTGATGTTACTGCCATAAAACAAATGATTACAGCATAGATACAAAGGGCACATAAGAAACAAATTCAACTTATGAAAAACTATAAGGTTTTAAAAAAACCTTGCTTAACAGCTATGACATGAAATTATGATAGGTAATACTGATATGCCAAAAACAAATATAAAAAAACAGACTCAGAACTAAGGATTAAGGGATTTCTGATAACCACAGAATTGAAAAATTAGATAGAAACCTAATTTCGAAAGTATTAAAATTGCATAACTTTCAAAAGACTCCAAGGAAGTATTATGTTCATCCCTTCCAAGCCAAAAAAGCCTGCATCTGAGCATACGGCATAGGGAAATAACCCTAAATGAAAATAAACTTTGTGCACAAATACATTCTTCATGGTCTTATTAATAGCAAAAGTTGGGAACGACCTAAGTATCAACAAAATGGTAAATTTATTGTAAATTTAACAAAATGATTAAAAAATTATATTCGCAGTCTGTGAACAAGAGAGATATTAATCCAATATTTAATCTAAAATTTATAAAGGTTTATTTAAGAGTGCTGGGGTTTTCATGCCGCTTCATTCCACAAACGTTCCAAATGCCTTGCGAAGGCACACACCGAAACACGCACACGCTGTCCACGCGGAGGTCAAACACCGGCCAGCAGCAGCGCCGAGCTCCGCGCGCCGAAGCCGCGGGGACCTAAGGCCCGAGCCCAGGCCCCCGGCGGGACCCCGGGCCACGGCGGGCACGCACGGCCGGCGCCCCTCAGCCCGGTTCTCAGACACTCAGTCCTGGCGAACCCAGGACAACCCAGACGGCCTGGGAAACATCGATGCCGACCTCTACCAGCCAGGGACGACCAGGCCCGGCGAGCCCGCAACCACCTGAGGCGGCAGCGCCGG